TATCAATAGTAATTTAAATGATCTACAAACACATTTTCTTATAGAATTAAACGAAACAATTTTATTCTTCACATAATAAAGTTGTAAGTACAAAAAAAAAGCGTGAAGTTTTTCAGGCAAGTTATTCTTCAAAATGTGTAAAATATTATTTTTAAAGTGGCATAACAACTAGAGTTTTGGATTTTAGTCCATCTTAACTTAAAAATGACTAAATGAATACGTATTTAGTTATTTGACATACGTATACGTTCTATGTACATGTACGTTCTATACATAATATTAATGTTAATTTATTAAATATGATACATAAAGATAACGATAACGATAACGATAACGATAACGATAACGATAACGATAAACAAACTGCAGTTACGACTTAAATACCGCTATACATAAATCTCTTTTAAACTACGGGCAGAATTATTATATCCGAAACTTATTTGTACAATTACAACTTACGTATTCATATTACTTAAGCTATTAATATTGGTAAATGAAATAAACACTGATTTACTTTTATTATTATATTTTTTCATATTTATCTAATAATATTTTTAAAAAAATCTCAATGCAGGTAACAATCATAAGTCATTTCATTATGGAAATTAATGGTCTTTCGAGATTTCTAGAAGGAGAAAATAATTTATATAAGGATCCAGATTATGAATACGCGCTTTTAGATGATAGTCATTCTGATATACAATCAGAAACTTCAATTATCACGAATACGACAATAACTAGCAATTTACTCGAAAATGATAACGATAAAAGAAATTTTACTTTTACTGAAACAGTAACCAACTTTATTAATGCCTATATGGATTTAAAATCGAATGATAACGATAATGAAAATTTAGATGAAATTAATATTGATTGGCTTGATTCAGAAATAGATTCTGCTTTAGAAGTTGAATCCATCAATAATTTTCTAGAAAATGAACAAGAACAAGAATTGGATATAGAGATTAATAACTGTAATGAAATTAATAATGATAATGATAAATTTTCACAACAGTGTATCATTTTGGATTATAAAGATGGAAAAATACAACGTTGCTCAAATTTGAGATTCCGGCCACTAAAACAATTACTAGGTATTTGGGAATTAGATTCTCAAGCCATTGATTCAATATTTAAGCAAAATCAAATGAAAGTATTGGAAACACTTAGTATATGTTCCTCATATTTTAATTTTGATCAGGATGACTTATATGAACGTGGCATGAAAAAAGAAGTTTCAATCAAATGATCATTAATTCATTGACATCATTGTCTTTTTTGTCATACTGACAAATACTTTTTTAGTAGAGGTGAAAGATGTGAAACTCATTCATGAACAGTATTGGAACAAAATATACGTTTACCATGTATAGATTTAAAAAATTGTCCTATATTTAATGAAAATATTTTTGCAAAAAAGGTTACAATAATATACAGTGTCATTTTATATGTTCTGAATGCTTTATACGAGAAGGAGATCATTTTTATCAAAGACAAGGAAGAGAAAGAAGCAATTAATCAAATACATGTATTAATAATCATATTGAAGATAATTCAAAATCATTAGAATTAATAAGAAAGTGGTTACTTTATATAGTGAATACAACTAATAATTAAATGAAAGCATTATTATTATGCAAAATAACAAAAGCACTTGATAATACATTTAAAAGATTAGATCTTTCTAATAATAATAATGATAATAATATTGATATAGAACAATCAAGTCATATACTTATAAAGATAGTATTATGTCTTAGAAAAGTAAACTTAAACAAACTTGATAATAGTGAATGACTTAGTATGATAATTGAAAAACAACCTGAACAGTTTGGCAAAGCAATGGGACATTTAATATGAAAATCAAAATTACATGTAAAAAAAATATTCATTATTTGGAAAATTCAGTATTACTCTGAGAATATAGAAATAATTTTTTATTAACTATAAAATATTTTTTTAATAGTATGCTTGATTATATACAAAACAAAAAATGAATTATAGTATATCAAAAACAACAACAACAAGAATTAACAATAATAGAATATAATTCAACAAGAAGTGAAAAGATTTCTATATTTATTATTTCAATTTTATTAAATATCACTTTTTCTAGTGTAAATATATGATTTACATATATATTAAGTTCATTATATCAAAAATTATATTATCAGTCATCATTATACGCTATTTTATGTATAGCAAATATAGTATTACATACTTTTAAACATGAAAAATAATTAGAAAAGCAAGACAAAAGGAGGCAAATCCTCATCAAAAACTATAAAAAAAGCAATATATGAAATTTATGTATTATTGATAATATAGATATAAAGACAAAATATTTATATATAATAATATTTTTGATGTCACTAGAGAAACTAAACATGCAATTTTAAGAATGATTTTTCAGTTTAAATTTTCTAAATTTCTATCACAAATAATTTCTGAGAATAATTCAGATATAAATATAAAATTTTATATAGATATTTCTGTATTTTCTGAAAAAAAATTATATATCATAATAATATATTCAACAAATTACTTAATAAAAAGGGGATTAATTTTGATATATAGGATATTCAAGAATTTGTATATGAAATCAGCTTGTGTAATCTTTTATCATCAAATATTGTAATATTAAAACTAAGTGACAATTTTAATAATAACAAACATATACATAATGTAACTTGTATGTATATAGAAAATATTGGCACAAATATTATCAAAAATATTAATTTAATTGCTGATGAAGTAATTTTTTGCTGTTTAATTTCTTTAAAAGAAATGCATTCAGAATTTTGATTTTTATTGGATGGTTAATACACTAACATATATATATATATAACACTTATAGTAATATTTTCTGAATATAATATTTTTAATTTAGCAGCAATTCTTGATGTGCATTATCATAATTGGACTCTTGGTAGATGTTATCATAACGTGAATGTTTAATCAATATCTGATAATAGTAATTTTATAGTAACTTGATCTCAACATAATTAGTATGCTTTAGAATCATCACACAATATATTTTCTTTTGTCTGTTAGATAGACTCTCACTATTTATTAATAGATATTATATTTACTTAGTGTAAAATAGTTTTATAGTAAAACAGTACTAATATTTATCAGGAAATTTTTTGGGATGATATTCATCAAGAATCATCATCATATCTGTAAAAATCGATAAATATCTCTCTAAAATATCAATATTAATCGATAATTCTAATAATCTTCAATAAATATTCCTATTAATAATTATTGATTATTATTAATTTATTATTTATCAATATATAATAATATATTAATCATTATCATAATATATTATTTATCAATAACAAATGATATATATTAATAGTTAACTCAGAGCCACTTTTGATTCCTAACCAACTAAAAATTCTTAATCAATTAATCAGTTAACAAATATAGGGATTCGTTAGGGTGATAACATATATTAGCTAATATTATTTTGATAGAGATGCCCCTTTAAAATATTAACTAATAAATATCACTGCTCTTAAAACAAGTCAAGTCATTTAGTCGAATTAGTCACAATACGTCACATATGATTATTACCACGTGACTTTCACGATCTTATTATTTGATTGGTAACTCAAATAACTTTCGTATATTTTTATATTGATTAACTTTAATTAATTCAGAAAATAAATACTTATTTAATATTTATACTAATATTTATAGTTATTATTTAATATTTATACTAATATTTATAGTTATTATTTAATATTTATACTAATATTTATAGTTATTATTTAATATAACAATTTAAAAAAGATATTATAAAGATAAAAAAATTAGTATTATGGATGAATTATTTAGGATTTTATTTGTTATTCCAGTTTCTTTGATTTTTGAATAATAATTTTTATATGTTTTTATTATTTAGTTTTATATAATCACAGAAAATAATTAAAAAAAATAATTATTTAGAAAATTATTTGTTGTATAAATAAATAAGATCTGAATCTTTTTGCAAATTAAATTACTTAATTTTGATTTTACATTTAATTAAAAATTATTGCAAGTTATACAAAGTTTTTTGAGAAATATTTTAACTTTTTATTTATTTAATTGTAATTTAAAAAGCTAATTTATATAAGTTTTTCATTAAATTAAATTTATATATTATTCATAAATGCTTATTTTTTGTCAAATTCTTTGAAAATAAGTTTGATTATTTTGTTAGTATTAAAAAATACTTACAAAAAATAAATAATTATTTAGAAAATTATCTGTTATATATATTAATTATTAAATTATTTAATTAAAAATTACTTGCAAGCTATACAAAGTTTTCTAAAAATATTTTAACTTTGCATTTACTTAATTATTAAAGTTTTAAAAGCTGATTTATATAAGTTTTTTAAATTAAATTTATATATTGTTAACAAATACTTATTCTTTGTCAAATTTTTTAAATAAATTTAATTATTTTATTAATATTAAAAAAAATACTTATAAATATTTGACATAAAGTAATAAGTGTCTAAAATATAATTAAAAATATTTAAAAATTTAAAAAATAAAAAATATTATTATTTATATAACTTGATTCTTAGTAATAAAATTAAATAATATTATAAATTAATCTTTTCTATATTTTTTTAATTTTATTAGATAATTATATTAAATTAAATATTCTTTAAATATTAGTTCAAATATTATTTATTTGTATTTTATTTAATTAATATAATTTCTTGACTTTTATTGTAAAGTTCTATTATTTTAATTGTGAAGTTAACTTAGTTTGTATATAATCTCTTGTTTTAATTATAAAGTTATAGTTGTTATTAATCTCTTATTATTATTGTAAATCATTATTAATTCAGTTAATAAAAAAGAAATTAATAATTATATTTACCTTTAATAAAGATTTTTGAGCTTATTTTAGCTGCTCAACAAAACAAATATAAATTACCTATCTTTAGTTATAAAATCTTTAATTACTATATTATCTTTTTCACCTGATTAAAATCATGTAAAAGACATGTTGTATACTTGAAACTTATAAAACAAATCTTAACAAGAACAATAGAAATAGGTGAATGTGAAATATTCAAAAAAAGAATTATATTACATTCTGTAACTTTATATTTAGCAATCTATTTATTTTATCTCTTTTATATTCAGCTTGTATTTGACTTTAGTACTTTCTTTTTTATTTAATAACAGATTTTTATAAGAAACAGGTAGATATTTATGAAAAATAACTGAGAATGCATATTCATTTTCACTTTTCTGAATTGTTAAAGTCTATCATGATTCATAAACTTCAAGTTATTAATTGATAAATGCTAAATCAAGCAAAGAAGAGAACTTACAATATTTTGAATATAGTATTAGAATTAATGATATTTTCATTTGGATTTACAGTATATATATTTTAGTTAGTGATGATTGGTTATATATAATTATTTGCATAATTGATATTGGTTCTTGACATTCATATAATATGTTTACTAATTGGATTATAATAGAGATAGTATATGAAAAGTTAGTCTTAGTATTTTTGATGTTCATTATTAGCATTAAATTTTTATTAATAGAATTATAAATAATGTATATCTTACTACTTGTTTATTGCTATTTATAATTATATTAAAATTTCTGAAATCTAGTGATTTAATTGAATCTATAAGTTTGAATTCTTATTTAACAATGATATCTATATTTAGAACCAGTTATTGTTATTATTACAAATTTTGCCATCCAACCAAAATGCATTGTCAAGGAAATTTTATATTTATTTACATTCTGTGAGTAATATATCAGTTTATTGCAAAATTTCAGTTAGTTCTCATTCTGATCATCCAAGAAAAATTAATTTCTGAAAATATTACCAAATTAAAATAACTATGAAACATGATCATTTTACTATAATAGTCAAGCTAAAGACCAAGCTCAAAAAAAAGGATCCAAAATTTGAGATGAGTGAACATACTATTCATTGTGAACTTAATAATCTCAGTTTTGTTGCTGTTCATCTTTGGAGAGTTTCAACAAGCAAGACAATCATGATCATATGTGATACAACTGGTGATGAAATAACAATTTATATGTTTTATAATTCGTATCTTTTCACATAGTTATTTATTGCATTAATGGTAAAATATCTATTTAAAGTATATATTTGATAGTAATTAATATTAAGAAGAATATATCAATACGTTTGCTTAAAATCTAAATTACTATTTGTATCATCAAATACTAAATAATCACTTG